GGGGTGGGGGGAAGGAGAATGGAAAATAGAATGTGTACAATCTGTAAGAAAATTTTAAGTTTTAATCCAAATAAATACTCCAATCACTGATATCTTCTTTTATTAAACTGATTCTTTTTTTTTTTTTTTTTTTTGACAGGCAGAGTTAGACAGTGTGAGAGAGAGAGACAGAGAGAAAGGTCTTCCCTCCGTTGGTTCACCCCCAAAATGGCCACTATGGCCGGCACTGTGCTGATCTGAAGGTACTTCTTTCTGGTCTCCCATGTGGGTGCAGGGCACAAGCACTTGGGCCATCCTCCACTGCCTTCCCAGGCCACAGCAGAGAGCTGGACTGGGAGAGGGGCAACCAGGACAGAATCCAGTGCCCCAACTGGGACTAGAACCCGTGGTGCCAGCGCCGAAGGCAGAGGATTAGCCTAGTGAGCCGCCGGCCTAAACTGATTCTTAAGTACAGTGTCTAAGATCTGATGCCCATATGTAGATTATATAAACAAGTTTTTTCCACTTTTTTATTAATATAAAAAAGCAGATTTTATAGGTACACTTTGGAGAAGTGTACCCTCCTCCTTCCTTTCGCTCCTTCAGTCCGCCTCCCTCCTTCCTTTCTTCTTTTTCTTTAATTTTTGCAAAGATGTACTTTGAATTCATTCTATAATCACAGGCTTAATTCATCACTAACCATAATATTCAGCAAGTTAAAAATAGCAAAACCATAGTTCCACAGACGTATAAACAAGGCTATAAATAAGGTTGTTTTTTTTTTTTTTTTAATAAAAAAGACTATTCTGGAAAATACTCAGATTTGAATGAATGAGTTTTGCTTTGGAAGTGATTTAAATAGATAAGTTTAAAAGTAGGGGCCACCATTGTGGCATAGCAGGTTAAGCCTCTGGCTACAACACCAGCATTCCATATGGGTACCTGCTCGAGATCTGGCTGCTCCACTTCCAATCCAGCTCCCTGCTAATGTGCCCTGGAAAGCAGTGCAACATGGCACAAGTGCTTGGTTGCCTGCACCCACGTGTGGTACTCAGAAGAAACTCCAGGCTCCAGGCTTCAGCCTGGCCCAGCCCTGGCTATTGTAGCCATTTGGGGAGTAAACCAGCCAATGGCAGATTGATCTCTCTCTGTCTCTCTGTCTCTCTCTCTCTCTCTCTCTCTCAGTAACTCTGCCTTTCAAATAAATAAAATAATTCCTTAAAAAAAGTTAATCAGGAGAAAAATTTTCTAATTATCAGTGCTTCTTCAGTGGCAATACACTTTCTTCTCTATGCGCATGGGATGTAATATAATACCTACTAAGTATAACACCTACAAAGGAATCTGAGTAGACATTACTGTCTTCACATAGTAGGTAAAGGTTTGTTTCTGAGCCACTGGCAAGAGCTGGGAAACAGACCCTTGATCACCATCCAAGGGAGTGAAATAAAGCAGCTCAGTGAAAAAGCAAACTGTTGGAATCACTATGGTTTCAGACCATAAAATATCTTGGACTTGGGAATCAGACATATTTGGGCTCAATGCTAGCACCTTCACTTTCATCAACAAGCAGTATAACCTTGAACGTATTACCCTACTCCTCTCTACCCTAATTTCTCCATCTATACAATAGAGTTAAGAATGCTTAACCACAAAAGGCTTATTAGCAGTAAATCGGGTGATGTATGTGGAAGTTCTGTTGTAGTCCCTGACAAGTAAACAACTAAGAAATATTAGGAGGTAGCCAGAATGACTTTGCAGTGGCATGCTGTACTGTCAGTAGCTCTTCCTATTGAAATGAAGCATGTTCTGTGTGAGAAGAATATTTCTCAGAAATGTTATTATTTAACAGGCTACTTTTGTCAGTTGAGCAAAGCTTACCAAATATACAGGAATTTCTAATTCATTGCAGGTCAGCCTATCACTTATCTTCAAGGCCACTGTGATACTTATTAAACCAGAATTCTAGGGTTGAATGAAATTTCACTATGTTTTTATTCTAGTTTTCCAGATGTACTCAATGTATAGTTGAACCTTTGAGAGTTTTGAATATATCCATGTGATAAATCATTGTTTACAGTTTTTCATGTGCATTTTTAAAAATAGCATTGATTGAACTTAAATAACTATTGACCTTGTCCAATTGATATCCCACTTTCCATGACCATTACTTTAGCTTTATCCATAGGAATACACAAAGCAGTGTATTATCATTATTCAAAGTTCCTAGAAAACATATGCTCCAGTCACCAACTAGAATAAGAGAAGTTTCTATGTACATGTAGCCTATACATGCATGAATTTCTGGTAAGAAACTTGAATTGAAATGTAAGATTATATAGCATTAGCATTTTTTCCCTAACTTTCATGCAGAAATGTAACTTGGATACTGAATATTGATCCTATGTATCTGAGTCTACTCTAATTAGGAAAATGAAAGGAAATCAACTCCTCAAACTAGAGGAAAGGTAGTAGGAAGGTTGTGGAAATCCCTCATTGGTCCCATTTTGTTTAAAAATATTTCCTTTGTCAGGCATCTTGGAGGAGCATACAAATGACAAGGATGGTCAGAGTCACCATTGAAAAGTACGGTGCTGTATCTTCATGTGATGTTTAAGACAGTTACTGGAGATAGCTACTACCCACATTTCTTCCAGAATAATTTCTGAAGAGCAGCTAAAAATGCTGTTAACTATAAGAGACTCAGTCTGTCAAGATGCATTAAAGTGACATTCTGTTAATACTAGTTCAAACTAAAAGAAAATCATCCTGTATTGAAACGCTTTATATAAACTCAGGAAAGGGAAGAAACTCACAGTTCTCCATTAATTTAACCAGTATTTTGGACCCATAGTGGGGTGATATAGAAATGGTAATTTGACTCCCTGTAGTAGCTTAGTAATGACCTTTTAATGCTTTCCCAGGGATGTTTTTGCTTTTGTAAATGTATCTAACAGACCTAGAAATAACTTTTCTGCAAAGTGGAGAATGGATTTAAACGATGGATTTATGTCCATCTCCCAACATTCTCCCTAATTCATAGAATTATAAGCATCAATACACACACACACATACACAATTGGAACAGATGTATGACTTTTTGTTTTCTAAAATGAAAGTAACAACTGAACTCAATGCCCCTAGTCTCACTTTCAGTACAGTCAGAATCTTTATCTCTGGGCTTCAGGTCTAAGATTGAGAGAAAAGGACTAGGTTGTTGACTTCCTGCAAACCCAGATGAAAGTGACTGCAATATGTTACATCCTTCTGAAGCTGGAAAATAAGGCACCATCAGACTTTGCAAAGTCCATCTGGGGAACATAAAATTGGACGTATTCTGATGATTTATTTTTTTGCCCAAACGTAAAAGTTTGTCTAATAAATTATTAAAGCCCTCTCTGTTTAGAGACATCTATCATTGAAGAGCTCTTGAAGAAAGTGATGGAGGGACAATTTTCTCTTCATTATACTTGCAAGTCAGAAATAAGAGGGACTTGTCTTCAGGAGCAGAGATTTCAAAACTCAAGGTCAATGTCTCAGTTTTCACATTAGAGATGGCTCTACATGTAGACAGACAGGGGATTGTCCAGGAAATGGTATTTGGCACCTTGGAGTAACTTTCCAGGGCCATCTTTCTTCCTGGCTTGAATGAAGGAAGGATATTCCTTCCTTCCTGGCTTGAAAATCCCCTTTAGCAGGAAAGAGCTTACTCTCTACAAGCTTGCCCTTAAAATTTATCTTCCTGGGAGAATTTTCTGACTGAAATACAAATGGGTTCAGCAAATGATACAACTAACATTTGTGGTTCTGATATGATAAATTGTAGTTCCCCTTTCTTGAAGAAAGAGAGTACCCACAGTAATTGTACCATCATCAGCATTTGGTCCACCTTACGTGTGTGCTCAAGGACCCTTATTTGTTGGCCCTCATGTGTATCCAGCCACTCCCTTCCATATTCTATTCATTGGCCTTCTGACTGTTCCCTATAGAAACTTCACATTTTCTCACACCTGTGACTCTGTTCATTCCATTCCCCAAACCCTCCCAAATGTCACGTTCTTGATCTTTTGCCCATTGGTTGATGAGATCCCTTGAGACAGCTGTACACAGTAAATACTTTGCTCCAGTGGGCAGTTATGAACCATTGAGAGATTCTTGAGTTATCATTTCCACAAGAATCACCTAAGTGATACAGACTTTGGCAATTGCATTTGGTAGTTCTGATTTGTTTTGAGGATCCAGAACATGTATTTTCACTAGGTTCACCATGTTCAATGACCCCTCTCAGAAAGATTTCTCTAACAACTCCACTCCTTGTTTCTTTAAATTTTTGACACAGACATATAAGAAAGCATTTTTTGTAAACAAAAAGATCATTCTGTGATTAATTTCTGGAAATTTCATTCCAGAAATATTATAATGCAGAGTTTTTTTTTTTTAAATCCTCTACCTTCCTAGGTGGGTTGAAAATATTTAGATGGGAGATAGCTTAATGTGCGTTAGTGAAATTGCTATTAATCACTTTTTGAGAAAATATAGGAATCCCAAGAACATGCTGTAATTTGCAGCACTTTTGTACTGCCTCTGCCAGATCTAGAGTTAACAAGTAACAAAACAACTGATTATGGGAAGGGCAGGTTTAAGATGAAAATAATGGTTTTGCAAAACTAACAGTATCATAGGCTGTGGACTGTGTGCTCTTCCAACTGGAGAATCCCGTATTTGTAATAAATTCCTTTTGCTCTGGATGAGTTCTGCATTTTCAATGAGGTTAACTTGGCAACATCCTAGTTGATTTTAATAAAAATAGCTGCTTTGAGGACAGGGAGCTGAGGTTGCCAAATTTACAGCTGCCTTGCACAATTACTCTTACACCTCCTTCAGGGCTCCCTAGAACCAGTAAGCAAATTAAGTGTATCGATTGCAATTTTGTTGGACTAACCCCGCTTTTTTTTTTCGTAAGGAATAAACTTGATTCCTTTTAGTATGTGTCTGTTCAGAGTGATCTCTTTTCTTTTCAGCCATAACACAAAGACAACATCATGGCTGGATCCACGACTTGCGAAAAAGGCTAAGCCTCCAGAAGAGTGCAAAGGAAATGGTAGGTTATTAAGTTTTTATGGGATTTCAGCCGTGTGCTTGGAGAATGTTTGTGTTTCCGAAAAGAGGGTCTTACCTAAAGAAGTCGTAATTTAGATGAGACAATTTTAGAGATGTAATATTTAATGCTCAGCTAGGAGACAGACTTAACTCGGCATTTCAGCAGGGCCATGTGGTTTTGCTTTTCCTCTCTAAGGAGATCTGTGCTGAATATCACATCTCTGTCATCTCAGTTGCTTCTGTTTGACTCCTGACCTGACTTTCCACCACCTACTAAGGACTGTTTCTTTGCAGCATGTCCCTCTGAGGACTCTGATCTTTTAGCTGGAGTCAGATAATATGCACAGAGATACAGCATTTGGGAACTATAAGATTTGCTTTTGTCTTTAAAGGCTTTGCCTTCTGCCAGTTATTAAGGAAGTAGCAATATAAAAATTATGCATTTGTTAACTTTAATCAAACATTTAAATAAAATAACTCATTGCATGAATGCCTTGGGTTATCCTTTGTATTTTCCAGTTCTCTACATAATGTAGACTTGCTTAAAAATAGTCTGTCTTCATTTGTGTGAAGAATTCTTCAAAATAATTAAAGGACTGGGTGAATGTAAACTTATTTTTAGATTACCAAATTATGTAAGTAAAGCCTATGAAATTTGCAATTTTAAAAAATATTGAATTTAAGAGCACTTATAACTCAGCCCAAAAGGATAAGTAACATATTCTTCTGATGATTTATTATTTGGCCACATTCAAAACCTTTTTCTCATTAAGTTATCAGAGCCCTATTTAGAGGCTTCTGTTATTGACGTGTTAGAAAGTGAGAGAATATTTAAACTTTAAAAAAAAGTTTTTTAAAAAGTTAACTTTTAAAAAAGTCTCAAATTCTCAAAGTGCTTTCACTTTAACCATAATTCTGGCTTTCTCAGCTAATACCCAGATAGTATTGTGCATTCCTGTGATATAAGGCAATTATTCACAGGCTAGGTATGCTACTGAATTAAATTAAAAATTAGAGAATACAATTTACATGTGCATATGTAAATGCATAGAGATTTAGTTTGTAATCAGTATCAATATTAAATTTTATATCCATGACTATAACTGTATGTTTTCTGTATAATTGTTCAACTGTTTGTGGTTAAATCCCATGACATTATTATAGGAACTAGCCTTTAAACACAATTGGGCTTCATTTCATTGACACCAATAAGACATGTGTTGCAAATTGTGATAGGTTATAAATTAAAATGACCTGATCTGTGATAGCTGGGTGTAATAATTTACTTATGCCACAGATGTAAAGCCTTAGTATGTCCTAATTACAATGAATTTAACAATTTTACAGTTCTGTGACACCTTGAACTTCTCAGCTGTCTTGTTCCTTTGAGCTGTTCTTTTCATTATAAAAAGCTATTAAAGTCAAATTTTAAAATCCTGAGAGAGAGGTAGGCATAACATATTGCATAATTATAATATTTCAGTTATAAGACTTTTCTCCACATCTGTTCTCAGGATTGTCAAGGTGTTAGGTGCCTAAAATATGATGCTAGCACCTTGTGAATCACAAGTCATGGAAAAATGAGTCCTAGAATGCAGAATTTGTCTTAGCATTATTTACAACTGATCAATTACTATTTGTTTGCAGTTTCTACAAAATAAATAATTCAGAGACTTTGTTCCATATGTTATTGGAATATTTCACAATGGAAACTAACTTGTGGTACATTAGAATGCTGCTATTCTGGACACATTTTTATTTTGCCAAGAAAAGTGATTTGGGATAATATTGTGACTTATGTTTTGTTTTTCTTTAAGTAGTGTAGATTAATTTATGGCTTACTAAAAATGCTGAATGTTAATGGATTGCTATTGAGTCTACTAGTTAAGTCAGTTATGTATCACACATCAGCTTAGACTACACAAAGTCACTGCAGTAGTGTTTTGAATGCTGGAATGTGTGTAATACAATTTTGTGGAGGTTCCAGATAATATCTTTATCCAGCACACATTGACCCTTCCTTCTTCTCTTAGGCAGAAGAGAGTGAAGGCTAATTACCCTAATCCAATTTAGAACTAGTCAACATGAAGCTGGGCTGAGTTTTGCAAATCTACCTCTGGTTTGCCTCTGCTCCTAGGTATTTGCCTGCCAAGGTTTTCAGCTTATAGCCTAGTACAGTTCAGTAAATATTTTCTGTGAAGAGCCAGGTAGTAAATATTTTAGGCTTTGCAGATCACCCAGTCTCTTTGCAATTACTCATTGTGCAGAAACAGCCAAAGTCAATATGTAAAGGTCATGGATGTATTCCAATAGAGCTTTATTTATGGACACACAATTTGAATTTCATATACTTTCGTGTAGCAAAATGTTATTCTTTTGATTTTTTTAACCATTTAAGAATGTACAATTGGTGCTTAGGTCACATGCCCTATGAAAGTAAGTAGGGATGGACTGGATTTGACAAACAAAATAAACTCTAGCCTACTATGTTCCTTTCATATGGCATACCTCAAATGTCCATGTTTTGTTATATTTTTCTTCTCAGGATTTCAAGACTGCTGAAAAACTGGGATGCTTTTTGGAGGTTGTAGTTTGGCCTTGTGCCTATAGACTCTGCAGCTTCAGAATTTAACATGTCAGGGCAAAATTAGTTGAGTATTTGAAATTTCTTGATTTTCTGTGCTGTCAAGCCATACCCAGAAGATTCCTCAGCTCTATGCTGGTCTCTGTAACCCCTAGCAGTAGCCTTCTTCCCAGGCCAACTCAACAAAATCAGCTGCAAATATCTTGCTTTACTGCTCTAGGGTTCTCTGGTCTTCAGAATCCTAGACCATCTGTATTTTGTTGCTTCAGCAGTACTCTGAACTCTTTTTTTTTTTTTTTCATTTTTCTCTAGATGTTCTGTTTCCTCATGGATTGTAAACTACTCATTCCATCCTACCTGGAAGCAGAAATTTTAGTGCAGTAATTTTTAAATTATATATTTTAGACCTTGTTTTGGATGCATATCAGAAATGCTTTGTAATTTTGATAGTTTCTATTTCAATTACTCAACATTGTATATCATGTTGTTTTATGTGCAGGCATACTATATATGAATGTGTACGTATGTGTGTGTGTGTATGTGTATGTGTATGTATAGACATAAATCTTGAATGTTTTCTTCAGAAATGTTTAAAGAGATACATAAAGTTAATTTTTTGGTCTACCATAATAAAAGAAAGTGAAGTGGAAAAGATGGGGGCAGATACCAACTGTTTTAAATTATTTCTCATCTAGAAAAAATAGCAAATGTTTTCTAATTGATGTCGAGGAAAAAAAGGGAATACATATCTCAAACACATACTTTATTGTTGCAGGAACAATCATTTTGCATGTTTTTGAAGGATAATATTACTACTAAATGTTAAAACATGCTCCTTTCTCTTGTTATGGTTGAAAACACTGAAGTCATTGTGTTCTGTGACTTTGTCCATTGCTCTGTGCACTTTTGAGCTTTGAGCATCAGTCTACATAGCAGAAAAAAAGTCTCCACCTACTTACTGGATTCTAATATTAGTGTTTGCAGGAATGCTGGTTAGTAAGCCAATAGAGGTTTTTTTTTTTACATTTCCACAGAAATAGCAATTAACTACTAAATGACATGCATGCTAGATTGTTTAAACTGCGTATAAAGCACCATCATATTTGTCCCCTCAGAATCAGTGTGGGATTTCTCCTGAGACATTTCCAATCACAAACATTCTTGTGATGAAATATCACTGCACTAAAGAAAATACTCGATGTGAAGGAAGCCTGGGGGACTGGATTTTTCCAGAAGTTGAAATGTGATTAAATTCTGTTGGACAACATGATTTTGTGCAAAAGAAGAAATGTGCAGGACTTGGAGTTATGGAAAACTCTGTCCCAAGCCCAAATCTCTGGGTTCTTGTGCAAAGAACTTAAACTCTGAGAGGCTTGGTTTTCTTCCACGTAAAATGGGAATTGTGCCTATTTTATTCAGATTTAGCTTCACATACAGGAACCATAGTGCTTATTGCACCGTAAATTCTAAATAATCACTCTCTTCCTTTCCTCCAGGAATTTAGCCTCAGAGAAGACAAGGGGGGCGGATGCAGAATGTGGGCCCACCTTAACAGCTTTGAATTACTCTGGGGTGTCCTGGATCCTCAGAGACTGGAAAGTAGCCATCTGTCGAACTCTAGCCTGATTTAATAGACTGGGGTTTCCCCCTACTATCAGTTAAACTGACTCTGAATTCTCACCTAGTTATAATCACACCTATATGAACTGGGTGGCTTCGTTTCTGTATTCAGTATCTATGGATTAGAGTGTGTTCTCTTATGTTACTATAAGGAAGTATATACCCTTAACCCATCTTCCTGCATCAGAACAACCTTTTAACTGCCAGTAACCAGTGCTCTGAGCTATGACTTAATCCACCCTTAATTTTTTTTTCAAAATACACATATACAGTGTCAGTTATGCTTTACAATATTTATTGAAATGGAATTCTTTTTTCTAAGAGAAGGAAAATAGTAGAAAGAGGCAAACGTTTGGCCAAGCAATTAAGACCCCCCACATCAGAGTTCCTGGGTTCAGGTGTCTCCCTAGTTCCAGCTTCCTGGGAATACATACCCTGGAGGCAGGAGTAATGGTTCAAGTAATTGTGTTCCTGCCACCCTTGTGGGGACCAGGATTGAGCTCCTGGCTCCTTGCTTCAACCCTGGCTAAGTTCTTGGCTATTTCAGGCATTTGTGGAAGGAACCAGCAGACGGGAGATCATCCTTATTTCTCTGTCTGCCTGTTTCTCTTCCTCTCTCTGCCTCTCAAATAAATTAAAGAAAGAAAGAAAGAAAGAATTTTAAATATAGTAGGAGACACTAATTAGTTTCAAGTTGTTTCTTAAGTGACTTTTATAAAAGAGGTACACAGATTAGAAGTTGTATACTTTTAGTTTCAGATTTCAGATTCTTTTCTAGATGGCATAGCTTGTCTCTT